CAGCCCTCAATAGCCTACAATGACAAAGTGAAAATATAGATTTAGAATTGTTAATTCAAAATCAAAACAGTTAATTTACAAGAGTGCTCAGCCCCTTAATTCAGTACTTTGCAGAATTGAATATAATTACATTCATTGAATTGCCACGGCACACTTACAGAGCACTTTCAGCAGACATTACAGTCTCTGCATTCTTTGCTAACCTGGATTTGACAAGCGTAACTCATTCTTCCTGGTGGTCCTGTCAAGTTTTTGGTGAATGACCTGGACCTAAACAGCACCTTTTTAACCTGAGCTGGGTTATACAAAGCGCTTTACAATGTGTTTCTCATTCAGTCACACACACTCACACACCATAGGTGGCAGAACTGCCATTCAAGGCGCTCACCTCGCACTGGGAGCAACTTGTTTCCCCAGGGATTGAACCAACACCCACCTGTTCTACCATAAAGACCTGATTGATGTAGTGCTGCAGGTTCTCTCATCTCTGCAAAGGCATGCTGAAGTTCTATCAGAGTGACCGTTTGGTTCCTGGCCATCTCCCTGGTTTCTGGGTTTGTCTTAATGGCCACTTTTAGGAAGAGTCCTTCCTCTTCATATTCATAGAGGCCGTTGAACTCCTGGGAGCAAAGCTTTAAAAATAGTTTTATTTCCTTGCGCTGATCTATGCCTTACCACTGTTTTGTCCTAGAAGTCTACAGAGAGCTCCTGGACTTCATGGTTGGCTTTTGTTTTTACATATAGTGTGAAGCGTGGGATCTAATATAAAATGACCAACCACTTTATTAGGGACAAATCCAATGCAATACAACACAACAGCTCTGCGTGATGAGAAATACAAGGTTTGATAAGAGCTCTGTTACCTAGTGTTATGTCAGTATAGAACTGGATGCAATACAGAGCTGGTTGTCAACGGCAACATTTTTATTTGTTATTAGTTGCTAGAATAGAGAATACACAGTAAATCTCTAATTCACATTTACATCCTCTCATGGTCACATCACTGAGCCCCAAAGCTGATATAAATTTTTAAATGACCCTAATTTGATATAAATTTCTCTGACTGGTGAAGTTCAGGAACAGTCAGTAATATATTTTTCAACATTTGAGCATTAAAAAAAAAATAAATAAACAGAAAAACTTTGGAGAAAACATACAGACACCAATCCAGCAATAGCTTTGGAACACTACGGCCATATTGACATCAGAAAACTCATTAAATAACCACAAATGTGTTTATTCAAAGTTTTAATACACTTTTTCAAAGTGATTTTAGGTCTATAAAGTGCGGAGGGTGAACTTCTGACCCGCTGCACACAAACATGAGTAAATAATATGCAGCATGACTCAGCTCATGTTTGGAGAGGAATCCAGATAACGTGTTGAACAGAAACCTTCGAACCAGGGTGGGAAGGATTTTTACAGGAATCAATATTTGTGCATGTTCAAGCTGATCGGTTGAAACCAGATATTAATTTCTGTGCACTCATTTGTACAGAATAAGTAATCGAGACCATGAATATATCGTCCCTCCAAGTTACATGAGAAAAATGTGTTTTCAGTTGAAGTTCTTCTTTATTTGACATTTTCTGTCTCACTCATATGCAAATAGCAATGCAACGGTCCAGCGGCAGTGACAGCACGTACACACACACACACACACACAAACACACACAGAGTCACACACAGTCCCTGAGTTGTCTTGACCTAATTGAAGCCCAGCGGTCTGCCCCAGGTCATTCTCTTATACCTCTCTTATTTTAATGAGATTTTTAATTAGCATGTTAATTGCCTAACACGATCAGCAGGGTGACTAGCTAGCTGGCTAGCTGCTGTTGGCATCCAGCTGGGCCATAACACTGAGGCTTTCCACTCTGCTGAACAAAACCAAGCAGAACTGAGCTTTCCGAGGCTAGCCTGGAGAGGAAATGGTGTTGAAGAAAAACAAGCAGTGATTTTTATACAGACTCGTGTTGCATTTATGGTCGAAGCGGAATGCTGGATCCAATTAATTACCAGTTTATTCAAATGGGTTTCGGTTCCATCCCCGGTTATTTGCTGCTTTCGTCTGTTATTAAGAAAACGGCATCAGGAGCCTAAAGACAGTTGCCTACTATGAGCAACAGAACCATCAACATGAGCATGTACAAATCACGCAAACTCACATATAGATGATCTCCGTGTTACTATGGTTGAGTTTATGTGACATTCTTTTGACCTTCTAGTCTCCAAAACCACATTGTCCAGTGCTGTCAGCAGCTCCAACAACAGGCTTCAACTCTCGAACAAAACTAAACATTTAAAAGGTAAAACTCACAAGCCTGGACTCCATTATATAACTGTCACTTTAATTTGTCTCTATCAATTCATCATTTTGAAATCTGGTAACATTTCATAATGAACTGACCATGCAGGGACTAAAGACCAGCCTCTGCCTACATGTGTCTCTAAACTCTTACTATCAGAGCTGGGCCAGCTCTGCATATGTTTCCTGCCAAGATTTTTTCTTACAGTTTCATGAGTCTTTCATTTGTATTAACACATGTAATACGTTTGATAAATGTCAAGAGATCACTGGTTGAGTGTTTCAGATTCAGAATCATGCGTCACCCAATAATAAGAGCAAATTACACCCCAGTTTTACACTCGCACTGTGCAGGACAATGTTTTCTCAAAGCTCCAAATCAACACTGGTTGAGTTCCGACTGCCAGTTACATTTTGGATCCGTCTCCCACTTGGCAGGATGCTCTTTGCAGTTAATGTTTGCAGGCTTCTATTTAAAGCTGTCCGGACTGTTTCTCTCAACCGTTACAGTGACCAAAGTCAGCAGTGGTAGATTATATCGCTTGTTGATTCCATAACAGCGACACTTACACTGTCATTCTGTTGTCGTGCTCTCTCCAAACCACTGAACGCTGCTTTGAGTGAAGTGACACACAGCTCTGTAACATCAGCCAGGGAACTTTTTATAAAGCAACATACAGGAAAGTTTCCCAATGCAACTTTTGATTCATATTTGTTGTTATCTTTTGAGCACTTTAAGCAGATACTTGTTAATCAGGACCTCCATTATTTGGATCAAGTGGTTTGTGAGAAATCAGATGTACACGTCTGTATGTATCGTCAATGAGTCAAAACAATCAATACCAATCAACAATGAGCATTTCATATTTTTTACTGCTCATCTGCTGCTCAGATACGTGTTGTGAAATCTGATCAGGCATTTCTGCCTTTTTTGCCAAACAATAGGTGATGACAGATCTTAACTGACTGTTTGGGCCATTACTGTGTTAATTGCAGGCATTAATTAAACTTGATTATTTGTGCATTGTCAAAGATAAAATGAGATTTAATGAGAAATTTGAAAAGATCTGGATTTAATAAGGGGCTTTATCACTGGATTTAAATTACAGAAAATGCTACAGAATCCCAACCCGACCTGTCCTAAAATGCAATTTCCCACAGTTGTGCAGTCATTGAAAATGGATTGAGTTCGTGGCTTCAAGGGGAAAACATAACAAGCTGGAAACATCTGACATATTATCAGGTTTGGTTCAGTGGCATTTTAGGTGAAAAAAAAAAAAAGGTGGAGCAACAACTACTTCAACAGTCCTCACCACAAATGACCCACCACCGTATTTAATCATACAACATGAGAAGGATTTTTTTAAATAAGCAAATATGTACAACTTTAACTTGCTATATGTTTTCTTCAGTTATGTCTATCTGCTATTGTGGTGCTGGGTAGGGATCACACAATGGGTTTATCAGAGCTTTTCCGCTAAAAACAGTTGCCTGCTGCGTCTGAAAATAACCCTGATGAGAGTCGAGTTTGTGTGCAATAAAAGCAAACAAGCTAAAAGAGGTTAAACCACTGAGGGGAAGTGATTCATTGTGAAATATAATTATTGGTGCAGCTTTTAGTCACTTTAACACAGTAGTCAGAGTAAGCTCACAAAGAAGCTCCTGTTAATAGTAGTTCACTGCAAGACAGATGTTAAATCGTTGATAAAGAGCATTCCTATCGCTGGATTTGGCTCTCAAACCCTGGCTATATGTAAAGATTAGCTGCGATCGTAAGGTCAGCAGAGGCAGCAAATAAGAAAGACACTACTATTTTTTAAAGTGTATATTTAGGGAGAGTAGATGTAAACCAAGAAAAAGTATACAGGAGATGAAAACGAGGTGGAGGTGGCCAGAAAGATGGAAAATGGCACAATGCACAGAGCGTCTTCCTCTGTCATGCCATTCTGTTAGCCTCACTTTAGTAGGAACTCAAGGCTGTGCAGTTATGAGGCTTGCCTTTATAATTTACCACCGCTGGTGTCGGCTTCTTTATTGAGCCTGGCCTTCGCTGACAGACACAGACACAGAGAAGGCTTTGATTTAGCCTGGGAATGTTCTCGCTCGTGTGGATCCGGTGAATCATTGTCTCTCTCTCATATCTCCTATTGTTTTTCTGTCATATCTAGCGCTCTCTCTCTCTCTCTCTCTCTCTCTCTCTCTCTCTTTCTACCTCTCGTTTCATTTCTCTCTCCGGTTGCTTCCTCTTCCTCTTATCCCTCTATACTAATTCATTTTTCTCTTTTTTTTTTTTCTCCCACTCCTATCTCCACATTTCTCTCTCTCTCTCTCCTCTCCAGTCAGATCTACTGTATAGAGAATGCCCACGGCCAGCTGGTACGTGACCTGGACTTCAATCCCAACCGCCAGTACTACCTGGCCAGCTGCGGGGACGACTGCAAGGTCAAGTTCTGGGACGTCCGCAACGTCCAGGAGCCTGTAAAAACCCTGGAGGAGCACTCTCACTGGTGGGTGGATCCAGACGGGTCGAGGCAGGGGTGGGTGGTGGAGTGATCTCCCATGTCAGCAGGCATTCTGTAGCCTGCTGAAGTGTCCCAACGTTCCACACTGAATCAGAGGCTGCTCTCATCCTCCTGTGTTTTGGGTGGCATGCAGGCAGTTTCAGTGCATGGCTTGAAGAAGTATGATAAAAGAGCTGCTGTAGGGGCAGTCGGTCCTTGATCAGTATGGGTTTTTGAAAACAGATGTTGCTGAGCCTTCTGATAACCAATAATGCTGATGTTCAATGTTGCTTCAATTTTCAGCATTTTCAGAGCTGTTTGGTTCCTTAATGTAATTGAAGGAAGATGTTAAGGTGGGGCATTGTTCAAATGTCTACAGGCTTTGTTCCCACCAGTTGTAAAAAGAGCATGTTTACACACTTAGCTCCGGTGGTGTCAAGCCATGCAGGTACTTGTGTTTCTTCTTACACATGTTTTCTATGGACATTCTGTTTGGGTTTTAGGTCCTTACTGCGAGTGAAGTGAAATGCTAATGCCTTATTTCCTATAAAGCTGGAACGTGTGTCGGGCTCACTTGGATTGCATGTAACTTAATCGAACGTTTCTCTCTCTCTCAGTCCCTGTCTGACTTCACCAGTCAATGCAGGTTGTGTGTTGCAAGTAGATACACAATGGCCTCTGGGAAATGAAGAGAGACAGCATAGCCAGCAGACAGTAATCAATGACATTAGGCCAAAACTTACAGAAGGGTACCCTCTTCAAATCCGACTGTTAGAACAGACTCTTGTAAACTATAATGTTGATGCTGACAGATGAAAATCTCTGGCCTTCCTCCACAACTCTTATCCTTAAAGAACACACTGCGACTGTTCCTGTAAGGTTCAAACCTGATGCGCTGAAGCAAAGAACCTGAAGAACTAAACGTGCAAACTATCGTAAATCTGTACAAGCAGTTTGAGGAGGATTCTTTCCTGTTTAAGAACGGCAATGCTCCCATGAACAAGGCCATGCCCATGAAGAAATGCTTTTCCGGTCAAGGACTTTGACTGGCTGACAGTCCTAATCACTGGTTGACCTCATGAGTGCTCTTGTGGCTAAATGGGAGCAAATCCCTGCAGCCAATTTTCACAATCTTGTGGAAATCCTCCCCAGAAGAGTTGAGGTTGTTACAGACGCATGCAGTGTGGGTGACTGCTTTTTGATTGATGTTCAACTTTGACATGTGGATGCAACATTCAAGGGTTTGGTATTTTTTTAGTTACTTTTTCTATCTGTTAATTTAAAAAATAACATTTTACAGTATTAGCTTGTCCAAGACACAATTGCCTGAGAATTCTGAATAATTCACAGCACATACAGTTTACCAAAGAAACAATCCAGCTGTTTGCAGTGTAATGTGTGGACTGTCAAGAGAAACAGTGAGTCTGATTCTAGGATGAGTTTTTGTTGAGTCTGATAAATGTACAGTATTTATTCAATGCTGTCGAGACGACTAGTAAAAAATCAAGACCACCAGAAATCTCACTTTCAAATATCACAAAACCAGAAAAATAGAATCAGAAGTATCTGCATTACTACAGAACTAGTTGAGAAACTGTTATTGTTTGGGTGCGTGTAGGACGAGATCCCCAGAGTTGTTCAGTGATGGAAGCAGAGGTGCTGGATTTTGTCTGTTAAATAAATCAAACTTTTGTTTCTGCAAAGAACCACTGATTTTTTTGTAATAGTGCCCAGTAGAGCTTTGAGTGCCAAACTTCCCTCCGAGCTTGCATTTAATGTTTTAAAACTCAAGTGTTTATTGGGGTAATTATTGAGTGCTATAATATTAGATCTTTAACTTTATTGTTTTACACGTAAAATTGACAAGAAATATCAGTAAACTATTTGAAATTGTCACTTATTTTTTCATTGAATTTGACTCTTCGAATGAGAAAAATAATCCTGTTTCGAACATAATCGTATTTGCATAATGGACAAAAGGCCTCTTACTTAGCATTGGAGGGTAATTCCGACACATTCAGGAACAATAATGATAAACATGATGATAACTCCTTCGCTGCACTGTTGATTGGTTTCTGGTTTTATTAATGGCTTTATCTCCTAACTAATGAAATGCCCTAACTACTTGTGGTGTAATAAAAGGTAGTAATACACTCATTACTAATTAAATAGGCAGCCACTCGTTTTGTCATTAAGGATTGAACCACAGTGGGTCGAATACAGCCCAGTCCTGCTCCAGGTTGTCTTCTGTGAAGCTTCAGGCATAGCTACGAGCTGAACATAGTGTACTGCAGGTGTGTGTGTGTGTGTGTGTGTGTGTGTGTGTGTGTGTGTGCGTGTGTGTGTGTAAAAGACACACTCTCACTCCTGTGTGAGCTGAATAGATGATCAGTGTGTCTGCGAGCCAAACTGGGCTACTGCTGCAGCACGCCAATCCTTACCTGATAACGGCACACACACACACACACACACACACAGTGGAACATACACAAGCATATGCACACACTTTTGCCTCTGTGCACGTACACACACATACAAGAGCAGACGTTATCTCCAGAAGAAAGATAGACGTGGCAAACATATCCATAACTGTAGATGGCTGCAGATGGGATCTCTTCTGATAGGAGATACGTGTGTGTGTGTGTGTGTGTGTGTGTGTGTGTGTGTACCACTACCTAATCTGTGTATTGCAAGGGCTCTCTTTTTATCTCTGTGTCGCTACACGCTTTTGTGAATGTTCAAGCATTTCTATATTGCATATGCATATTATGCATGCCTGTATTTGTCCTGTATGTGCACTTATCTTTAGTGTGATGCACATGTGTGTGAGTGTTTCCCTCTGTGTGTGTGCGTCTAAGTGTGTGTGTGTGTGTGTTGTGCATGCTCATTTTTCGGAGCACAGCCAGGATATGGCCTCAGGGCTGCTGGGGGTATTAGGGACTATTTTTTAGCAGGGAAGCGGATTAGGGGAGCGCAGGGAACGGCGTGGCCGAGGCTGATTTTCTGTCAACAGCCTTGGTTATCCCTCAATCCCTCCCTGCGAGGGAACTGGGACCGCACTCTGAGCTGTGCCCCGGGCTGGCAAAGAGAGAGAGAGACACAGAAACACAAAGAGAGAGAGAGAGAACGAGGATGAAAAAGAGCAAGACAGGGAGACAGTGTTGACAATCAGAAATAGAAAGAGAGGTGCAAAATGGAGAGAGAAAGGGAGGGAAGGTGAGAAAGAATTGGATTGAAAACAAAGTGAGACTGAGCAGCAAATAAAGCCAGGATCATGGAGTTTATGATAATGATCATCAACTCGTGTGAACTAAGCTCCAACATGGACTGCAAGGTACCAAATCCCCATTACTGGCATCTGAATACACATCTAGATAGGCATATTTTGTTATGAATCCACTGCATTTTCTGCATGATTTGTGTGGGCACGAGTGTGTGAAAGGGAGATAGATACAGGCGGTTTCCCTGCAGGCCTGTGTGTGTTTCTGCATGTGTGGTCTGCTCGTACATAAAGAACGGAGATATGTGGCTTTAAAACTCATCACAGTGATATCAAAGCATTCAGTGCTTGGTTCTTGGTTCTTCACACACATGGAGCTTTGCGCAGAAGAATAAGGTCCATGTAATTCATTCATGCATGACTGTGTAAAGAACTGCACTCATCCACACTGTTGCATTGTTTAATTCTGAATGAATGACTTGTAACGTGTGTGTTTGGTCCCAGGGTGTGGAGCGTCCGCTACAATCACAGCCATGACCAGCTGGTGTTGACAGCCAGCAGTGACAGCCGCCTCATCCTCTCCAACATGGTGTCTATCTCCTCCGAGCCATTTGGACACCTGGTGGACGATGAGGAGCTCAGCGAGGGGGAGGAGAACCACCAGGAGGACAAGTAAGGGCAGCTCCAACTACATGGAGACAAATGCTTTCAATAATCCACATTCAGCAGCAGTTTCTTTTTTCTTGGACACTCTGGTTTGAGCTTCGGTAAAGTGATGGGAGCTTTTTGTAATGTTTAGGTACATTTCATTCTGTAACAAAACAGTCCATGTGATTTCATCTGATGTGACTCTTATACTAACATTTTGCACATCTCACTTCAGTAAAAGAAGACGTTAAGTGACACTTCAGAATGAATCATGTGTGATATCAAGAAACGTGAGCAGTCTGACCGTCAGACAAGTTGTAGAACAATCAGCAGCTTCAACACATTGTCGAAAACCACTTTATTTACATGTAAATGAAGACACTTAAAATGTCGGTTATAATTTCTTATCACAAAGGGGAACTGTGTTTGCACAAAGCTACAGCAAGTAAAATATGCAAAAGTTAAGTCAGGAAGTCTCTACGCTGGTTACAGTGGACTGGGTGGTAAACCAGGGGCTGGTTGTCAGCCTGTATGTCTGAGGTGGTGGCAGTTGGCAGGCAAATCTTTAAAGGAAACTCTGGGTTCATTTCAAACTGGTGTGTTAGTTAATAGCCCATTAATGTGGCTGTTTTGTTGCAATGAGTTGTGCGAACTTTGCACGCTCCTCTTCCATTGTAGAGATTTGGGGAAATGAGGAATCAGACAGAACAGCTTGCTAATAGCAGCTTTCCAAAGAAAGATGATTTTTAGATGAATTATTTGAAACATTTGTTTTCAGTCTGCCTCAAAGTAGAAATGAGCCGTTTATTGCATTTTGCTAACTGTGTTTGGAAGTCTTCACCTGGCTGACCTAATCACCAGCACAGTCATCAGCACACAGCAGTTGGTCTGTCTGTTGTAAGTAGAACCTTCATTATGATTATTCTGTCTTGTGAGGAAACTCAGCAGCCAAATGCAGTAGTGCCATGACACCATGGACCATTATGAGGATGATAGGTGGGCATTTCAGTTTCTTAAATCGAATGGAAGATTTGACACAGAGAATGTAGGCAGACAGACAACAGGACGTCCTGTAAAACGTCTTCCCTCCGTCCTCACTGCTCTGCTGCCAACTGAGGAGGGAAACTTCTCAGAGTGAGACCTCTTAATGACAGGCTTGGAAAACCTCCCATGTGACCATGGATGGGCGTCATCGCAGCTTTGCAACTAATAAATCTGCAGCTTCCTGAAAACGGTGTTACATCCAGGCGATGTCTGTATTTATGTTTGGTCCGATCTGAAAACAAATGTTTAAATTAATCAGTCTTTGGACAGCCACAGGGAGCTCATGCTAAGTTGCCCCACTGAATGACGTCCTGTCTTTGTGCGACTCCTCATTTCCCAGAATCTCTACAGTGAAGGTGAAGAGTGCAAAGTCAATATGACACCAAGAGCCACAATAGCCCCATTAATTGGAACTACACTGGGTAGAAATAATCTGGAGTTCTCCTTTAACAATCCCTTTTGTAGCAACCAAAACCAAATGAACCCCAACCTGCTGGTGGGCCCAGGTCCAACAATATGAATGTGAGGGATGAAACCAACAGCTTTTCAATCCTTTATTTATTCTTAGTGCCCTACCAGTACTGGGGCTATAAGTGTCAGGTTTATAGTGGGTTGGGTTTTAGCTCCTACTGCACTTTGTATAAAGGTATATATTTGTTTTGTTTTTTAAATCTTCAGTTTACTTTTCTGTGCCAGAAACTTTTGTCCATTGCTGAACTTTCTATCCTGAGTAGATTTCCTGGCCATTTCATAAACAAAGTTATGCGTGCTGCCTCAAAGGTCCACATGTTGGTGCTGCAACACGGTCAAACCTATGAACTGATCTGTGAACACCACCGCACCCCCTGACCACGATGGTCTGTGGTGGTTTTCAGAGACTCATCTATATTCACACACTCTGAATACACTGGAGGAAAATAATTTGAAATGTAGTGCTACAGCATCATCTCTGCTACCAATTATTGATGTTTCCAGCATCATCCTTCACTGACCCTCCTTTTAAACATTAACAGGGATGTGAGTTTATTCTTTTGGATTCACATCTCCCATTCACTTTTAAGATGATAGTTTTTCTTACTCTGAACATCTCATGATCTATGACCTCGATCATCTTACACTATATTGGGACAGTTTTGATGCTATATTATAATTCAGATGTGTAAAAGCACGGCCAGTCAGCTTTCATCACATCAAATGTGATGAGATTTTTTTTTTGAAAGCATTACACCTTTCTTGTACATTTCTCTAGTGCCTAAGGAGCCTAATGAAACAAACTGTGAGAAACATGCTCTGTATTTTTGAACTGTTTATTTGATAATAGTACTCCTAAGATTAAAGCTGACTGTCTGAACCTTCACTTTCACATTTTTGACACACAGAATGATAAAAGTGAAGAGATAAAACATTCAAAATACGTTACTGTTCAAACATTTCACTGAGTTTTTCCTCTATAACATGATTTTAAAATAGCAAGGATATCATCTGTGATGGTTACCATTCAGTGCTTTCCAAATCTGCCACTGTCCTCCATCCATTATGGTCCCATTCCCCCCTCTCATCCATAACTACCAGCTCTTAAACTCAATGACAGACTCTCATCCACAATTATCAACTCTTCTTCCTAATCACCACCACTCAGCTTTAGTTTTAACCTTTCCACTGCAGTTATTGACCCCTCTTGTACGTACAGTGCGTGTCCACTCCACATGTACCTGGACGCTACGTACAGAACTCCTCCACTGGCTGGGCTATTTAGGATTACGGCTATTTTTAGTAAGAAAAATCAAAGCAGACTTTACTTTCAGTTTTTTTTTTTCTCTATGAGAGTATGTTTGTTCAGTTCAATCTCTTTGTTCAGTTTAAGTGACTTCAAGACAGGTAGGTGAGAAATTAAATCAAAGCTTGTTAGGTCATAGTAGCTACCGGCATTTAGCCTTGACAAAGACCTAATTCCCACAATATTTTACAATTGCTTGCGAGTGTGGTGCTGCTAAATGATCACACTCTGTGATTGGAATCAAAATTGATTATTAGTAACTTTTAAAAAATAAATGTTATGATAAAATAAAAGGAAAAACTGTATTATTTTTTAGTAACTAGAATTTTTACAAAACACAAAATTATAAACGGACACTAAAGATTTCCTCTGTGTATACTGTAGAAAACAATCTTAAAATTATGAGAAAACTGTTTTGCAATTCAATGCAATGTACAAGAGGCTAACTGGACAGGAATGGGAATGCTTCAAAAACCTACATAACAATTGCCACATTTTTAAGATTTTTTCAAAATCAAAGGTATGCATGGATAGTTGTCAAAGCATCCAGTGGTACCCTGCAAGAAATGTGTTGTTCAAACACAAATAGGCAACAACCTGAGACTCAGTTTGCCATGTACATGTGCTGGGACAGGAATTACCACACCTCAGGATTTGCCTGAGAATCATCAGGTTTGTCAAAATAATTCAGTAATAGTTGTCCAAACACACAATCACACGCAGTAATATGGAACTGCTGATTCAGCATAGTTTATTTTCTAAAATAGAAATAAAAATCTAAATTTAATGGTGCTATTGATTGCAACTCTCTGTGTCCATGGCAACGTTACATTTTCTGTTTGTTGTAAAAGTTAATATCTATTCACACAAGTAAAGACTTGCCCATGACCTTTTCCAGAATACTTTGCTGAAATAAACACCAACACTGAGCTCACATTCATTACACTGAGTTGGGTAGCTCCCTTGGCCCTGTCCTCGTAGATCAGGAGCACCAAGTACCTGAACCTTTGTTCAGAGTTATGAGATCTTTACATGTATTTATGAGATAGTAACTCACAATTATGAGATAATCTTTCTTTTTTTTTCTTTTGGGAATGCAATACCCATCTGTAATATACTGATATAAATACTTTTTAAATTCAGATGTTGTTGTTGTGTGATCTGGAGCTTGATAGGTTGAAACATATCTCCTCTATTAATCATTAAGCATATTGCTTCATTTACTTTTACACAGAGAGTAGTCCTTGGTAAATTCTAATTAAACACAACAATTAGATATACCTGTTTATAAAAGTCTATTTAACATAATGTGTTTAAATCTTTGTTTGAACTGCACAACCAGGACCAGCTCTGTCAGATTGCACTGCTAAATTGCTTTGCAATAAACAACTGAATCCACTTTGACCATAAGGCTGCTAAATGTTACCCCTGCCGTATGATGTACGACGGTCTCTTGGCAGTTAAACTCTTCAATGACATGATGACATGATGAAAAACCTTGCAATCCTTTCGGCCCAGACCAAGCCCAGTAAGTGTTAGCATCAGTCAAGTGCTCTCACATGTGCCCTCTTGTTCCTTTCTTCCCCAATGAATCTATACGAGCGATGCACTTAAGAGTGATTTTATTTTAGACTGCAGCCCAGAGGGAGTAGCTACTGTCAGTGTGAAACATTTAATGTGTAAAATAAATCCAAATATGTATGTCAGAGTTCCCCCTCAGGACTACTTACAGCAGTGGGTTTGGGAGGAATTTTGGATGGCAATAATGCTAGATCATAATTCTAAAATTTTATTTATTGTCACATTGTTGTAGCAGTGGGAGAAATGTCCCAGCACCTGGGACGATGATGTTTGTGTGCTGAAAACAGTTTTCACTTTTAACAAAAACAGTTATTTCAACAATACACACCCCTTTTTAATATTGCGTTGCACTAATAATTACCTCTTAAGGTGTAATGGCCGACTGTAACTGTCAGATGGGTGAGCAGCTTCTGAAACCTTCTCATCCAACCCAGCTCCAGTCCAGCTGAATTCAGCAGCCATTGGTCTGGTTTTTGAAGCAGGATTTAAACTGCTCTCTCAAATTATTTTTCTTTCTAGCAATTATGTCTGAAGGGTTTTTTTTTTTGTGAACAACGGGGTGCAACAGTAAGAATACCTTTGAGGAAAGCCTTTCTCCAGTTATGCACAGATATTCCTGTTTGAATGATGATCGTCTTGCTCTTCTATATGACAGCTGGATTGTCGCCCCATTTTCAAGCGTAACCTCTCACAACAGCCATAAACACTCGTGTCCCTCAGACACATATGTAGACCACAGTGCACAATCCCATCTAGTTCTGCATATTAGAAAAATATTTATGTCCCATCAGCTCATCCTCTGTTTTCACAGTTTACTATGCAGCCAAAAGAAGACAGAATCAACCTCAGAATTAGCTCAATGTCACCAGTTTGACGTATCCAGGGCTTCTATCCAGTGTTGGTCCTACAGACTAATGCATGGTTTGCAGACTCATTAACTCAAATATTAATGTGCATTAGCGGTATGTTCCATAGCTCACCTCCTTGCATTATGTGTGTGTAATGTAGGGGTAAGGAGCCCCTGAAAGACAGCGTGGTGTCCACTTACGAGGAACACGAGGACAGCGTGTATGCAGCGGAGTGGTCATCGGCCGACCCCTGGCTCTTTGCCTCGCTCAGCTACGACGGACGCCTCGTCATCAACAGGGTCCCCCGCGCCCTCAAATACCGCATCCTGCTCTGAGAGGGAGGGTCAGGTGACCTCGGTTTCAAGCTGCATGTGAAGGCAGCAGCGCGACTGGGTGTGTGTGTGTGTGTGTGTGGGTGTGTGTGTGTGTGTGTGTGGGTGTGGGTGTGTGTGAGTGTATGGTATAATTATACTGTTGTTTATGTTCTAATGACTGTTGTAAAGATAATCTATGTTGCTTAACAGCATTAAAGTAAAAACACAACTTCTGGATAAACATTTGAAATTGTGTGCTTCTTAAATGTAGACAATAAGCTCATAAGGAACACAAGAAATATCATTTTCTCCATCGTGACATTCGTCCATAAAGGCGACTGTGTCATCATTATGTGTATTCCTCTTATCGTTCTCACTTATGTTGTATAATGCTGATTTTTATTGTTGCTTAACTACCAGTAACAGCATGTGTACTCTCGTCATTATTATTCATTTTAGCACCGTTAGTGCTGATTTCATCAACAAAAATTATTACAAAAATATTTGTTGACGACATATTTTTTACACTGAAAACAAAACTACAGCTAAATCGACGGTAATAATTGAAGACAGGAGCTATGACAAAATGCTTTACCCTTTTCATCAACGAATTTAAACTAAACAATAATGTTCCACACAGACAAATGAACTAATCACTGTATTTATTCAGTGAACTGCACCATCTGTGGAATTACACGCTGCACCTCTTGATCAAAAAGTCCTTCAAAATGTTGCTTCTTCAGTAGATTTGTCACTCTGACCTGTTGGTCTGCTGGTACTGAAGAAGCTCCCTACATTCAGTCGTGTTACATGTCAGGCTGTGATGTCACTTTCAAGCTAAACTCGTCTACAAGTTATAACAAGAAGCAGCAACAAAGCTGCTGAAACAAACTGTGAACACAGCAACCAACATTGATATAAAGGTGGACTAATGTTAATGTAACTACAAATGCAACAGAGCTGAACTGCTACAGACTCATCTAAAGCTTAAAGAAATAATGTTGGACATACGTTTTTATGTTTTCCAATCAAGTAGTGTTTTTTTCTCAAGCTAAACCCAGACAGTAAACAGGACTTAAGTGAACAGGTGAATGAATCATCTATTTAATAAGCTGCTGCTCTTCAGCAGAGAGAACATGTAGTTGTGGAAATGCTGCTGCTAATGTTAGGTGAGCAAAATGGATCGAGAGAGAGTGCTTCAGTTTGGAAATGATAACATTTACTAGATTTAGTGTGGAGAGTCTGTTGTATCAGTGCCGAGCAGAGGGACATAAGGACGAGAACAATAAGCTCACCATAGATGAGAATAACGTTAGATGCGTACACAAAGACTGAAAGCTGTGGTGTCAACGTGCTTAGATGATATAAAATTAAAAATGAGACAAAAATGGTTTTAGTTTTTGGGACTAAAACCAATGAAAATCTAATTACTATGAATGTGACTAGACGTAATACACATTTTGTTTAAAGACTAAAATTACTACAAACTATATCAAAATCAGGTGCCAAAATTAAAGCTGTGTTAAAAGAGTAGTTCTTCAGATGGCCTCTAAAGTCACAGCTATTGAGTCACGTCAGGAAAACAGAATTCTTCATTTTTCTCCTTAATCCCAGTGGCATGGCTTTACACAGGTCTGGAGAAGGTTTGTTCATATTGAGCTTGTTGGCTTATTTCGATAGCATGCTTAGATAGTTAGCATTTGCCAAATTTGTCGTACCTCTGGCTTCCACTGCCGTCTTTCTCCTCGTCTCGCCTTCCCTCTCTATTTCCTCGTGCACAGTTACGAGCATGCACGATTTTAGAGGTGCACAGGACTCACTGGAGTCATGTTGTGTGGATCGCTCAAGACACGTTGTTTCCCATTTACAATAACACTGGATTTTTTTTTTTTCAATGCAATCAGCAGCAAACCGCGAGGAGATATTTTCACTGAATTTGACATAGTTTGAACTGAATTAAAATAGCTGATTTTACTTTTAAAGATCATTTAGGTGGTTTTCAAGACGGAGGCAAAGTTTGTGCTGTTTGTCGTAACTAGTTTCATCATAAGTTTTTTTTTTGATTAATCATTAAACCAAAATTGTGCATTTTTTCTTGTGACCACTTGGAGTAAAGGTATGTTTACTGGAACATGAGCTATGATATGGCATTATGTCTCCGGGCTCCGGATGAATTTCAGTTCAGTTTTTTATCTTTTTGCTCCGTTTTTGGTCTTAACCTACTATGTAGGAAATGATCTGGTTCTTCAGCTATTAGAAGCCCCACTGCATTCACCTAATGCTGAATAAATTTGTCTTTGTAGCAAGAGATTTCAGGCCGGTAGTGCACAGAGAATTTATCTGCGAAAAATTATGTGCTAAAAGGTTCAAGAATGAACTAAAGCTGTTAATTTGTCTGTAAAACCAAAACTGAGTTGACACGTGCTGAAACGTTACTTGAACTGAGAGGAGCTGCTCAGTTTGGTGACATGCAATTACATCTAAATCCCCTTATCTATTGCATGTGATCCATTGTTCATATAAACATATTGATTGGAGCAGCTTTTGGTAGAAACTTGGCAACGCTTTTTGTTTTGAGTTTGTTTTGGTTAGAAAAATTGTTTCTGATTTTCTGTCCATTGATTATAAATTTACTAATAGTTTTACTTTGGCCACACCAAGGTCCAGTTGTTACACCAATCAACAACTCAGCCATACCAGTATATGCATAACATTCACATCACTGAGCATCTGAAAGAAAAATCATCCATCCATTATCTATACACCGCTTAATCCTCACTAGGGTCGTGGGGGGGCTGGAGTCTATCCCAGCCGACTTCGAGCAAAGGCACTATCACAGGGCTACACTTAGAGACAGACAACCAAGCACACTCACATTCACACCTACGGACAATTTAGAATCACCAATTACCCTTTTTGGACTGTGAGGGAGGAAGCCGGAGAACCTGGAGAGAACCCACGCTGCACAGGGAGAACATGCAAACTCCACGCAGAAAGATCCCGGGTGTCCGCGAACCGGCGACCTTCTTGCTGCGAGGCAACAGTGCTAACCACTGCGCCACTTTGCAGCAGCTGAGAGAAAATACCTAAGAAATACCATTAATTGGGGAACATGACACACAGCTTTCAACGTATGCAAAAAAAACAGAGGGTTTTTTTTTTTTTAATCTTTCATGATTCAGTTCATAGTGCTACCTTTATTAGGACTGAAATTATATTGACCAGATGGAACAAAAATGAGCTACCTACCTACTGTGGATTTCCACTTCCTTCCCCATCTCGTCCCCCGCTCTTCACTCTTCAGTCTCCTGTCGTCCATATGCCCACTCCCTCCCCCTCTGAGCCTGTACACTGTGTGTTGAGGCTGGTCGAAAGTGACATTCTGAGCCTCTGACAGGCCTTTTAATTGCAGCTTGACTCTATGGATCACACATTCACATACTCACACACACACACACACACACACACACACAATAGTGGCAAGGGAGGGGCATAGGCACTTCATTAGCTATGCCAGCCGGGACAGGCAGCGCTGCAGCTGAATACAGAATATATTCGTCTGTCTAATCAGAGAAGCTGCTCACACACACACACACACACACACACGCACACAAAGAGCGACACACACGTAGAGCCCTTGTTACCCTGCAGTCAATTATTGAGAGGAGGGATCAGGGTGGAGATATATAGGGATAGTGAGCGCTGAAAAGGTAATCGCTGAATCCTGCCCATCTGGAAACTTGTAATGCTTGTCGCAGGCACGCACACATGCAGCACTCATTGTCATATCTCTACTTTCTTCTAACAGCGTATGAAGACGTGTGAGGGTGACGAGCATGCCTGCCAGGGTCTTAAGTGCGACAGCGTATGTGTCAGCATATGTATCCATGTTGTATAGGAGGACCATTACCAGATGAATGTGTGAGGTGGAAAAGCAGAGACAGATATTTCTCCATCTGACACCGAACATCCAGCAGCTGATGTGAATGCAGCTTTGCGACCAATCAGTCCGTCCGGCTGCTAATAGCCGCTCAGTATTTGCATGTGAATCAATGAAGTCACCTCTTTAGTGTGCCTGAAAGGCTGGCCCAGAACAAATTACATTAACTATGATGCATTGATAGTCAATGTGGAGATCTGGATGCATTATTGCTGACAGTGTCAATAACCAGAATATTTGGTTCTGCTGCTATATACAGTGCAGGCTGCAGCGTCGCAGCTGGCCCAGAACACATGATGTCAACTGGTGGACAGATCAGAGAACAAACGCCAGTGTTTCTGTCATGCACCAATACAGAGCGAGTTCATTTTTAGTCATATTTATTGTGTCATTTGCGACTACTCAGAAAAACATACTGACCTCATGCAACACATTCCAATAGGTGAATCCCCAAAGGTGTCACATCAGTGCAAACCAATTTAAACTAATACACCACAGCATAAACAAAACATAGCCTACATATATATATATATATATACACCAATTAATCACATAATGATAACATTTAATTCATAAAAGACTAATGTATGTTTATAATTGACCTAAAATACAAACCTCTCTGTGTCATCGTGCACCTTGTGTGTAACTTTAGCTGTTTTAAACAATGGCTTTCATAACTCACGATACAAGGACAGCAGAGAATAAGTGAATTTCATTTTCTACCCCATTAAGCTCAAAATCTTTTCAGATCCTCTCATCTTCATCCACCCCCGATACCTTCTGGTTTAGGATATGGAGGCAATAGACCACATCTTATCCGTAGAAGTGCACATTATATGTAACATATTTATAAAGGTTAGGAATTCTGATTTTGCCAAATCTTTGCCTGTTTTGATGCATTTTCCCCAACTTGCTACTTGAACCCCTCTTGGATGTACGCCTCTGTAAATCTATGCCCTTGTCATATATGTAACATTGTAGACATCCATCTGTCTCCAGCAGAAGATTTACTGCTCGTTTGCAGAGTTTGGTTCATTGCTATGAGTGCCGTCTTTCAAATTGCATATTGTAGTTTGACCTGTTGCTGCTTTAAAGACCCCTTGGAGAAAGTTTTTTTTTTTTTTTTTTAACTTTGCTAATATTTCCATATGGTGTTGTTCCGATGCTGTAAAACACATCATGAGCAAAATAAGCAGCCATCCAGATAGAGTATTTCCACTTTTAAACTTGCGCCTACTGATTAAAGTCTCAAAAACACTGATCAGACAGCTGAAATTTTTGTAGGTAACAACCCTACAGAACC